TATATATATATATATATATATATATATATATATATATAACTTATATATTGTATAAAATTGAATAGATTTGAATAAATGAATAGATTTAACAATACATTTTTATATATATTTTTAAGACTTCAAAGTCCCATTATTGATTTAGCATAGATTAAAATATTTGTAGCGGTTATAATTAATTAAATTTTCAAATGAAATATAGGAAAAAATATTTTATTATTAAATTATAATTATTAAACAATATGTACATTTTAAATTTGTCCATAAAATATTATACTTATTTAATATAAAGATTTTTATTTTATTTAGATTCTTATATAATACAAAGATGAATACAAATATCTTATTATCAAAATAACGTGCAATATTATACATTAGATTACATTATTCTAATAAAAAATATATAGATGAAAATTAAAGAATAAAGAAAATTTATCTTAAATAAAAAATTTACTTTTATTTAAGATTTACTTTAATTTCTATATAAAAATTATACTTTTAAATAGTCTCAGTTATACAGTATATATTACCGGAATTCTAGAAGCTGCAATTTATTGTAACATATTTTCTAAAATTTATCTTGTAAAATATTTTCAATCTCTTACATTATGTACTATTTGAAATCATTCAATATAACCGATTTTATTATATGCGTTATATTTTTTTTAAATAATTCCATAAAGATCTAAAAATATAATATCAAAACAGGATGAACAATTTGCATTTGGAAATTTTGAAATAATTAAAAAAATTATATACATTATATAAATTGAATTGTAAAATAAAATTCAAATGTATGTAATAATACTTGTAATAATAATGTAATAAATAATTGATTTTGATTCTTGAATTATTTTTTTAAGGATTATTTATTTAAAAAATTATTAGATAAAATTTTTAATTTTTAAACAGAAGTAAATGCTCGCATTTAAGAATTATTATTTATTCAATTTAAATAATATCTACAATAATAATTTCAAAAATAATTTACATATCGAAATTGACAAGAATTTAAAGCTTAATAAATTACATTATCATTATTTCAATTCAAATGATAACTTACACACATGATAATACACACAACCATACAAAAAATAAATTTTCATATACTCACACAAAATACAAATATATCAAAATTACAAATCCAAGGATATCAGAGAATTGATACATTCGCAAGATATCACATCGCAGTCTTTTTGTAAATTATAGCTGATTATTACTTAAAATTATATAAAATTATATTTTTTAAAGCATTTTTCTTCATTGTTATTTATTATATACATTATAAGAATAAAAAATTTAAAGATTATATCCATAAAAATGTTACTGATTAAATTCTTTACTTAAAAATCTAGTGTAATTTTTTTATATATTTATATATATTTATAACAATAATTCAAAAACTGATAATTATTTTTATAGTTTCTTTATTTTGAATAACTGCGAACATAAAAATAAATTTAAAGGATAATGAAAAATGACAACCATATATTGAAAAAGAGTTTATTACATTTTTTTTAAATATTTAAAATTACATTTGCTGAAAATTAATGTAAATAATTAGCCTCTTATAATACATAATAGTTTTTAAACAATATATTATTTAATATTTGCTTTTAGAATCAGAATTAATGAATACATATGGCTATAACAATGCCTAAATAAAATTTGTTATTTATTTTCAGGACTATTTATTTTATTTCTTAAATAAATTATTTCAGATTTGAAAACATTACATCTATAATAATTATATATAATTATTATTTTTAAAACATTACATCTATAATAATTATATATAATTTATATATAATTTTTATTTATTATTTTTAAAATAAAATAAGTTATATATTTTTACTTTTAAAAAAAGTAAAACTTTTTTTTAATTTAATTATATTTTAAATATATTATTTAAATAATTTTTTTAATTTTAAATAATATGAAATTTGTATTTTTGTAAAATGTAATAAAGAATATAAAATATAGATTGATAAAAACAAAATAAAAAACGATAATATCAAATATATGAAAAATTAAAATTAAAATAAACTTACAAACAATACTTTCATCTTAATAATGAAAAAATAACCAATTTTTTTTATAGCAGCTTTCTAAATATATTTATGTATTATTTCTTCCTGGTATTAATTTTCATAGATTTATTTTTTATTAATTTCTATTCTTCATTAAAATAAATATCATAATATATTCTTATTTATATATTTAATTTTTTAATAAATTTTTTTCTTATAAAAATATATACATAAATTTGAAACTTACTAGTTGTTGATCCATGATATATTTTCTTTGTACTTTAAAAGACTAGTCAATAATAAATTATAAGAATTATATAAGAAGTATTTTTTACATTTAAAATTGATAAATAAATAATTTCATATTATACAAGATTTTTATAAAATTGTAATACAATCGAAAAGAAAATAAATAAATAAGTCAAAAATATTTAATTTTTTTCATATAAAACTTCATTTTTTAAAAAATCGAATTTAAAAATTCATTAAATAAAAATAGGTTTTGAATAGAACTTGTTTTATAAACAATATAAAGATCAATAATATTATGCTAGCTTATTCTTTATGATTTTTATCAAAAAAACTGGTTCACGAACAATTTACAAGGAATATGTAAATTATATGTACATATTTTATAACAATAAATATATAAATATATAATGAAGTATATAAGTATATAATAAATATATAAGTATATCATCAATTTAATATTTTATCGATCATATTGCAACAATAATGATACAAATATAAAGATAAAAAACTAATTTTGATAAATACTTTGGCAAAAAATTTAATAACATTGAACAGAGATATTTCAAAAAACAATTGCATTTCGAAATCTCTTCTCAAATTCGGGATTAATTTGTATTTCCTACTGATAATAAACTTGATTGTCTGATTTATTGAAAAGTATACTTTATTCATCCAATAAAAGTTAATTTTCAATATAATGGAATTTTACTATGATTCATTGGGATATAAAAATCAATAGCACATAACAAAACAATAATATTGAGATTAAATTTATTAGATTTCTTTGTGGAACAACATTTATCTATGAAATAAAAAAAAAATGAAATATTTTTTTTTCAAATCATATTTAGTCTCTTTTGCGATTGTATTATTACTATTTATAAAATATTATTTATTAAATATTATTTAAATATTATTTATATATATATCTATAAATTTTATAAAATTTAAAATTTAATAGGATATATGATTCATAATTGTTCTAATTTTAAGAACTTACATTACCTAATAAAAAATACTTCTCGATATTTCATAGCATAATTATAAATATTAGTAATATACTTCTAACTTTTGCAATATTTTTTGCAACTATAATGGCATATTATACTTTAAATTCCACCTGCTTATAAAAAATTTATATTTATTTTATATATTATATATATTTATATAAATCCTATTACCTTTTGAATTTTTTATATAATTTATTTGTTATAAAATTTAGGAAAATAATCTTGAAAATATTAAATACTAATATATCATAAATATATTATTTTTTATGTTAAAGAAGCAATCGACTTCAACTTACCTCCTATGATGAGTGACAATGGTAGTTGTGACACGGAGCGCTCTGAGAGTACCAGCCCAAATGGTAAACCAGAAATTAATGAAAACGAAAGATAGCAGTTAATATACAAGTAAAACAAAAGTAAT